GTTAAATGGGTAATTGAGGGGATATGCAAACCATTAACCCATGTTTTTAACATGTCGTTTCGACTTGGGCCTCAATAATATGAAAATAGCAAAGGTTATTCCTCTGTATAAATCTGGTGATAAGCACAACTTCACAAATTATAGACCGGTTTCTCTGTTGTCACAATTTTCAAAAATTCTGGAAAAACTCTTTAATAACAGATTAGATACATTTATTGACAAACATAAAATCCTCTCTGATTGCCAATATGGTTTTAGGTCGAACCGATCGACATCTTTGGCCATTACCGACCTGATGGAGGACATTACAAGTTGCTATGGATGAGAAGAAATACATGATGGGGATATTTATTGACCTAAAAAAAGCATTTGACACAATCAATCATGAGTTATTAATGGATAAGTTAGAAAAATATGGGATCAGAGGAATGGTTCTGCAATGGATTAGAAGTTATTTGACACAGAGGCGTCAATTTGTGAAGTTGGGTGAATACCAATCGAGTGAGCTGGATATTGTATGTGGAGTGCCTCAGGGTTGTGTTTTGGGACCTAAATTATTTATATTATACATTAACGATATATGCAAGGTTTCTGATTTAGTGAAAGTGGTTTTGTTTGCTGATGACACTACCATATGGGCATCGGGTGAAAACCTACAGCAACTCTCTGGATGGGTTTCACAGGAACTTGAGAAGATAAAGAAATGGTGTGATAGTAATATACTATCTCTGAATTTGGATAAAACTAAATTTATGGTATTTGGGAATCGTAGACTAGATAATGAACTTCAATTGAAAATTGGGGGAGCTAATATAGAACGAGTACATGAAATTAAATTTCTAGGTGTCATAGTTGATGATAAATTCACCTGGAAATCTCATGTCAGATATATTCAGCATAAAGCCAATTTGTGAAGTTGGGTGTGGGGATAACCCACAGCAACTCTCGAGATGGGTTTCACAGAAACTTGAGAAGATAAAGAAATGGTGTGATAGCAATATGCTATCTATGAATATGGATAAAACTAAATTCATGGTATTTGG